TCCGGAGGAGAAGCGGGAAGAGGAGACCGACATGCCCCCGTAGGCACTGGGGGCCCGGCAGGAGCCTGCGGTCAGGACAGAGGAGATGCGGCTGGAGCCACCGCCAATGCCACAGGAGCCCTTCATGGAGCCAGAGGAGGTGAACTGGCGGCTGCAGGTGGTCATGGTGCCGAGAAGGAGCTGAGGAGAGAGCGAGCAGAGTGTGCAGGAGGTGCTCAGGGAGGCTGGGAGAGGATGCTGTGGCTGCCTTGAGATCCCGGAGACTTTATATGCAGTCCAGGAGAGGCGGGGCCCTCCCAACTGCTGACTGCAGGTTCTCCAGATTTCATCACTCCAGGCCTGTCCAACTCCCCTCTTTGGATTATTCAGCCCAGGGTCTACTCACTCCGATGTGTGCTAGCTCGGGGTTCACACCCAGCTCCAGGGGGCGTGGGGCCGAGAGAAAAACACACAAACGCCGAGTCGGTCATGACTCAGGTTGGGAGGCCGGGACTGCCAGCTCCAGTTCCTAGAGCCTGAGGGGCCAGTGGGGCCTGGGCCCAGGCAGCTTTGTGGCAGCTGCATCCCCAGGCAGTGAGTCAGCTGTCAGAAGGAGTCCCTGCCCTACAGTGACAGCCTTGGCTGAGAGAGGCCTTGGTGATGGCATCCCAGGGCTGTCTCGGGATGCAGCTGTGGGCTTCCTACAGGCCAGCTATGCATGTATCGCAGGAGTTAAGACTCAAGGCCTGGCTCTGTTTTGCTGGCTGTGTGACCTGAGGCCCCTCCCCTGCCCTCTCTGGGCCTCTGTTGCCCCTCAATAAAGTGACAAGGCTAAACTGGGTGATCTCAGCATCCTTTTAGTTCTAGTCTAGAAATCCTATGATTCTCTGTCTCCTGTGGGTTCAATCCCACTTTCAAAGGCTATCTTTGAGCCCCCAGGAATCCAGAAGTGGAGTGTACCTTGGAAATGGCCAGCGTTTTGGAGTCAGACAGGTGGTGACTTAAATCCCTGTTCTGCCCTGTATCAGCTACACAACTTAGCCCCTCTTGGCCTCAGTTTTCTCATCTGCAAAAGGAGAGGACACACCACCGGCCACAAAGGAACTTGCATGAAGGGCCCGAGTTGGCCAGGGTTCAACAGTAGGCCTTCCTTTTCCCATGGTCAGCCTTGGCCCTCAACCTCCCCAACCCTGCTGTCCAGCCAAACGGCCCCTCACATGCCTCCTCATCCCGATCTACACTCTGTCACCTCCCTCCCATACCCCCACAAAGGCCCAGCTCTCTCCTCTCCACCCCTACACTGTCCAACACACACAGGCATCCTCCACTCTAGCCCACTGCTCTTACCACTTGTAAACTCTGAGAGGAGGGGAGGGGTCCATGCCCTGCCACTAATGCATTGCATGACCCCTAACCCTGCTATGGGCCTCAGAAGTCCCACTCAGAAAACAAAGCTGTCTGGGGGTCAGTACCCCATGGAGGGAAGGGCACTAAGATTCTCTGGTTACCTGACACCCTCAGGCTTGGCCCGCAGCACCTTGCACATGTCTCCAAATTCTGAGAGGTGGGCATGGTTCCAGCCACCATTGCACAGTGAGGGAGCTGGGACACATAGGGACAAGTGGGCTTTCCAAGTCACCAGTCAACAGGTCAACTACTAAGATTTGAACCCTATCCCTCTGCTCTCCAGTCTCTGCCCTTATCACTAACATGCACCCCTCCAAACCCCATTACCATCTAATCAATTCCAACTCATGGTAACTCCATGTATTACAGTATAGAAATGTTGCAGAGAGTCTTCTTAGCTATAATCCTTATAGGAGATCACCAGGCCTTTTTTTCGTGGTGCTGCTGAATGGGTTTGAACCACAAACCTTTAGGTCAGAAGTTGAGTGCAAACCATTTGGGCCACGCAGTGACCTTACAAACATGTCTCAAATTCGCATCATTTTCTTGATCCTTGAATTAACCCTGTCAAATGAGAGGGCAGAGGGAGAGCTAGTGAGAGAAGGTGATTTCACCCAAAGTCACTTGGCTTTCAACTATAGAGCCAGGACTAGAACCCAGAGCTCCCATGATGCCTTGCAGACAGGGACCAGGCATGTCTCATTCTCATTTATCTCCCCACAGCACCTGACGCTGAGCTCAGTGGGCGTGACGTTGGCCTGAGAGCCTGGCTGAACACTGAGGGCTGAAGGGAGGGTTGGGGGGTCTGGCCTCAAAGACAGAGGCCCTCCTCTGTAGGGGTGATCCACAGTGCTGGTCCCTGTCATTGCTCCTTAGTGCATCTGCTGAGGTCAGGGGAGCAAGAGAAGGCTTGTCTGAGCCTGAGCTCTGCTGGGTGATACTGTCTTAAACCTGGAGGCAGGAATCCTTCATCTCAGCAGAACGGGCTTTGCACGGTCACAGCGCATCCCACCATCACCTTCTTGGAGGCACAACGCCCAAAGGTATGACCAGAGCCCATTGCTCAGCACACGCCTTTGGAGCCAGGTCTGGGAGAGAGAATTTGATGCACTCCTCCCTCTCCCCAAAAATGAGCAAATCCAGGGACCCTGGATTCTTGGACAAGAATCTCACCATTCCGGGTGTCAAGATAGACCTGGATTTCAGGTCCAACCACAGACTCATCACCTTCAGAATTGGAAATGGCCTTCAAGATCATCAAAGGTCACCAAGGACCAACCAGAGCAAGTAAGAGACTTATCCAAATTTAAACAGCATGGATGCAAAGGAGCAGAGTCAACCCCAACTCCAACTCCCAAACTGAGGTTTGCACCCATACTCCCAACGGAGTCTCTAGGAGCCCTTCTCTGCCCCCTCTCACATATTCCTGCTTTCTTCTCTAATTGGATCACTGCTCCCCACCCCCTTTCTAGAGGAATTGGGGTGGGATTACACACAGACCCAGGAGTGAAGATCTAGGAATCCACATGGGCTAAGAAGCTGCCAGGAAGTCACTGACCAACCATCAGCCCTCTCAGTGGACACCATAGATCAATACCCACTACATGCCCAGGACTCAGGGAGAGAGGACAGAGGAGACTATGACACAGCACCTGACCTCAGAAGAATTTATCATTTGACCCAGGAGGGACAACTGAGGCTGGAAAATATAGTTCCGCATGGCAGGAAATGAAGGGCTAGGTTGCTGATGCAGGCCCAGAACTACCATGTCCCCCTCCACCACAGGATGTATCTAGGGTGAGTGTTACCCCACTCTGAGCCTCAGCAGTAAAGGAGGGGCTGGCCCACCAAGCCCTGACCTTCGGAGTAATCAGGGGAGGTTTCCTGGCAGAGGGGAGGCTCCAGCTGGGCCTCAAAGGATCCAGATTGGCAGAGGAGAAGGAGCAAAAGGGCATTTCCTCAATGCCAGCAGTGTGTACCTGCCCCAAGACTGCCAACAGCCAGAACTACTAAGCCTGGTGGGCCCAGAGCACAAATTCCCCCAAGCTTGCTCCCCACTAGGCAGTGTGTTCCCGCCCCCCATCCTTTCTCCTTCCTTCACTCCACCCTAACTTGGGTATGAGGTCATCTCAGCCAAGTTGGCTAGGAAACATCATCAGCCAGTGCCAGGCCTCAACTTGCTGTGAATCTCAAACTGGCTGATCATGGTATCCCTATTCTGATCCTGACTCCTGCTCCACCCATGGCATCATCATCGCCAAGGACCAGTCTGGCCAGGGGGCATGTTTTACAAGCTCCCTGAGGGATTTCAGTGACCAGCCAGGCTGGGAAACAGGAGGCAGCCCAGGGTGCTTGGGGGTGGGGAGAGGGGCATGGCAGAGAGGGGCAGGAGGCCCAAGGGAGGCTGAGGAAAGAGAGGGGTTTCCGCAGGGGCCCCAGCCCAGAGCCACGGGCTTCAGAGCGACATGAAGAAAGAAAAGAGCCCCCCGATGACCAAGGCACAGCAAGCTGCTATCAGAGCAAGAGCTGGAGCAAGACTTTGGGGAACTTGTTTAGCCTCTCTGACCCTTGGTCTCCTCTGGGAAGTGAGAATAATAGTACTAGTTCACAGGCATGTTAGGAGGACTGGCACAGACTGGTGGCTATCACTTCATTGAACCAGTACGTATCACCAAACACTCGGACTCAAAGATAGAGAAGCCCTTGGAGCGTGCAGTCTGTGGAGGATGCAGTGTGGTCAGCAGCTGGTGGGTTCAAACCCCTGAACTTCTGGTTAGCAACTAAGCTATTACCTAACCACTGTGCCACCAGGGCTCCTTCCAGCTCTCTCCCAATGCCATGTAGTCGGGGCATGATGGGGCATAGGAGTCTGCAGGGAAACAGAAGGAGGCAGGCTCCCTGGGGAGGACAACCGTCCTCTGACAGGTCCCAGGCTGAGGGTAAGTCTCTGAGTTCCAGGCCTGCCTTAAGGGCTCCTCTTCCCTCCCAGAGGTTTGGGCTCCCTCTTCTGAGGGTGGGGGCTGTCCAAACCCTCACACTGCTCTGTACAAGCAGCCCGTGGTTCAGTCAAGCTGCAGCTGCAGCTCTGTGCCCAGTGGCAGAACCACCCTGGGCTCTGGTTTCCCTCTACTCCCTCCCAACAGCCTGAGACGGCACAAGAGCCCCACACTACTGAGGCCAGGGGAGTGTTGCCAGCCACAGTGCCCTGCTCCCCACCCCCAAACCAGGGCCTTCCTTTCTGGGCCAGGGCCTGTGTCTCCTCCTTCCCTTCACTTAGGGTGACCCAAGCACAAAACGGGACAGAGAGCCCACAGAGTTATTGCCACCTGCCCTACAGGAAATGCTGTCAGGTCAGCCCTCCAGGACGTGGATGTGGGTGAGGGAGAGTTCCAGGGGACTGGCATGGTGTGTCCCTGTGTATCGGGACCATGTGTTCATCATTATGGGTGGGAGAGGAAGCTCATGGACAGTTGCAGACCGGCAGCTCCCATGAAGTATTCTGGCAGTGGTGAGGTGGGATGTGCATGGAACTGTGACTCCCTCCACAGAAACCACCCCCCAGCTCAACCCCCAATCCAGCCACAGACACACATCCCCAGCAGCCTGGGCCTGCAAGGGGTGCCCTGGACAAACCCACCAACATTCCCCAAACCACCCCCAAAGGACCACATTTCCAGGTCACTCTGCCCCGAAGCCCCATCTGCCCAGGCCTGCCCTGAGTGCTCCTGGAATGGTCTCAGGGGTCCGGGACCATTCCCTGGAGACACACATCCATGCCCTGGCACACAGCCACCAGGATCAGCTCTCTGGGTACTCCTGGATGCTCCCCCATATGGCCTCCTGACCCACCCACCCAGTCACTGTGGGAGAGGCCTCATCCTCAGCAAAGGAGTGTCAAGGGGGCTGCCTGTGGCCCCACCCCACAGAGCCCCTGCCTCAGGGTCTGGGCGGGACAGGAGGCGGGTTCTCAGCCCAGCCCAGGCCAGCGTGGGTCCTCCCATGGCCCGTGCTGCCCTGATCTGCCAGGCTCTGAGACAAGGGCTGAGTCATGGCTCCTCTTGGAGCCTCAGTGTCCCCCTCCACACAATGGGGCGCCTCTTCCAGACCCTCCCTGCCACCTGGGACTGTTGTTCGAGTAAGTGAGGTCACCCTCCAGGATGAAACACCCAGGCTCAGGCTGGTTCTTCTAGTTGCAACCGGATGTGTGGATGTGCTATGGGGCCTGGTGGGAACAGCGCCTCCTTCCCTCCCTCATCTTCACCCAAATTTGCTGCCAGGCAGCTGAGAGCCAGCAGCCTGTGAAGAGCAGGGCCCAGCACTCCCAGCCTGCCCCCCTCTCTAAGTCCAGGAACAGCAGCTGCAGACATAGGCTCCCCACCTCTCTAGATGTTGTTGTTGTTTGCTGTCGAGTCGGCCCCGACTCATAGCGACCCATCCTTGGGTTTCCAAGGCAGTATCACTACGGAAGTAGGATTGCCCAACCTTCCTTCCAAGGAGTGGCTGGTGGGTTTGAACCGCCAGCCTTCTGGTGAGCAGTCAAGTGCCTTTAGGCACTATGCTACCAGAGCTCCTACCTCTCTAGATAGGACCTCGTTTTCCTGTGGTGTGGGAGCCAGGAGGGCCCGTTAGCCGTGGTTCAACTCGCCCTCTCTTTTATAGTGCAGCTTTTGCGAGGTCCAGAGCACATCTGTGACCTATCCCAAGCCACCACACCCCAGTTTCCAGCTTCCCAGTCCCATGCTTCTTTCACTGCCTCCACCTGCACAGTCTTGGTCTCAGCTAGCCCCCATCCATCTGCTACACCAGGCTCAGTATGGCCCATTCTGCCCCCTCTCAGCCTCCAGGCATCAGGAGAGAAAGGGTGGATCACCACAGATCACCAGCCTTTGGCAGCCCCCTTCCAGCTCTCCCAAACCCAAAAACCGGTTGCTATTGGGTTGACTCTGACTCATAGCGACCCTATAAGATAGAGTAGAACTGCTCCATAGGATGTCCAAGACTGTAATCATTTTGAAAGCAGACTGCCACATCTTTCCCCCAAGGAGCCGCTGGTGGGTTCAAACCCCTGAACTTTTGGTTAGCAACTGAGCTATTTCATAAGCGCTACACCACCAGGGCTCCTTCTAGCTCTCTCCAGCTCTCTCCTGGTCTGAGATGACCCTTGACCTCCAAGTCAACGCTGAGTGTTCAAGGATCCTGCCTCCCATCCCCTCCCAATGTAATCATGACAAGGATGTATTTCACATCTGAGTGAACCCAGCTCATGGAGCCCTCCCCTCCCACCTCCCAGCCTCCAGGCACCTGGAGAAAAAGAGTGTGTAGAGGCCCATGGTCTATTTCTACAGCAGTAGAGACACTCCCAGGCCTGTCAGTGATTTGGAGCAGGGGGCACCACTTCTCTCATTAACCCCTGCCCACCACCACTCTCCTTGAAGGAAACCAAGAAAGCAAGCCCGCTCCACCCAGTGGTTTCCGGATTTACTAGAAGGAAGACTTCCTTCCAGATGTCAGGGCCCCTCCCAGCCTCTTTCACAAGAGCCATTCCCACACATACCCTGCACCAGCCACCAGAATGAAAATGAACTGGACTTTAGACAGGACCCCAGCAGTGGCTGGGGCAGGATTGTCCCCAGGGACACAGTTTCCCACCTTCCCTCACCCTGCCCCCACCCCCAGGCTGCTGGAACCAAGGAGGTCCAAACTGAGCCCCTCCAGGTCCACAGGGAGAGTAGGCTGTCCCCTGGCACAGCCCAAACCCTGTCTGTGGAGCGCTCCCTGCCCCACCCCCATCCTGAGCAGCAGCTGACCATTTGAGGAAACATCTCCAGGAGACACCCTACCCTTTCTCTCACAGGTCCACAGCCTTCTCTGGAAATATGTACCCAAGCACCTTGGGCTGCCTCTTGCTCACATTCCTGGGGTGGGGACAGTTGAGGACACTGTTCACAGGACCAGAAAGAGCAATTGATTTGGAATGCATCACCTCTTGGGACTCAGGCTCCTGAATCTGAGATCATCTTGTCCATTTATGGACAACATGAAGCCTGGCAGGGGAAGAACTACCTGAGGCCAGGAACTAGTTATCAGGCTAGAGAGAGCTGCCTAAGACCACCCCTGATACCCCAGATCCCCCTGAGTCTCACACTGTCTGGACTTTCCTCCCACAGATCACCAGCCCTTGGGAGATGTCAAGCACCCACCCCCACTCCTCCCCAGACTTACTCTTCACCTTGGTCTAAGATAACCCTTGACATCCGAGTCAACAGCTCCATCCCCCATTCCCTCCCAGACCACTCATTTCTCACTAGGACCCACTCAGTGACCATGACAAGAATGCATTTCATATGAGAGTCAACAAGCTTTATTGGAATCAGGCAGGGGAGTGTGGGAAAGGTATTGAAGCAGGGGGGCTGAGGCCAGGGAGGCCAGAGGCTGCAGGACAGATGGGGTGGCCACCTCTCCACCACCCAGTGGGCTGGCCAAGGAAGCCACATTCTCAGCGGGTGCTGTGGTGGATCTGCTCGTGGGAGGAAATGACCTTGCCATCCTGGACCTCCTCCACGATGGTGCGCACCTGGCGGGTGGTCACAGCTATGGGAGAAACAGTCATTCTGGGATGGGGGGCAGTGCCAGGATGCTTGCTCAGCCTCCAGACCCCCTGAGTGGAGCTGCCTTTTTCCCCTAGTGCCCTCCCAGAGGCTTGGTATGAATGCCTCTGCTGGCCAACATCACACGAACACACATGTCCATCTTGCCCTTGCCACCACCTCCCTTCCTCCATCCTCTGTTAGGGTCCCTGTGTGAGTCCTGCCTCCCCAGGGAGGTTCTTTGATTCTGACCCACTGTGTTCTCCTGCAAGAGAGGGACCATGTAGACTGGGAACTACACAAACTGAGGTCTGCCTCCATTTCCCTGCAGTCACCAAGGCATGGACTATGCTCCTGTCTCCCACATCAGACTGCGATCTCAAAAATGAGAACAAGGTCATTCCCATTAGACGAGATACCCCAGGACTTGAATCATATCTCTCCCCATCAGAATGGGATCTGCAAGACAAGGACCATGTACCTATCTCCCATCAGACTACTGTCCCCAGGGACAGGATAGGTTTTGCCCTATCTGTCCAGATCTCAAGAGAAAAGTTTATAAATTCATGTTCCTATTCCCCATCAGATGAAAGTCTCTAGAGCCAAGATGATGTCTCTCCCATCAGACTAGAATCTACAGGACAAAGACCATTCCTCTGTCCCCCTCCCATCTGACCAGTGTCTGCCTCATCTGATCCTTCCCCTGAGCATCAACCCTGAGCCCCAATAGGATTCTGTCCCCATGATGAATCAGCCATCATTTTCTGGAGATCCTGGGTCACCCCAGGCAAGGATCCACCCCAGTATTGTGAATGTGCAGATAGGTTGCCCACCCTGCACACCCCCAGCCCTTTGCCCCCACGATCCTTACGTTCTCTGGGCTTGTACTGAGTCAGGCTGTGAAAAAAGAGAGAGAGAGGAGATTAGATGTGGGTCTAAGACCCTCACACACACCCAACCCAGAGGGCCCTAGCCCTGGCCTGGACCCCCACTCACTGGGCATCCTCGCCCTCCAGCAGGCGGCGGTAAGTGGCGATCTCCTGCTCCAGCCGGGTCTTCACGTCCAGCAGGATCTTGTATTCCTGATTCTGCTGCTCCATCTCACAGCGCAGCTGGGCCAGCTGCTCCTCCACGCTACCAATCAGGCCCTGGATCTGAGACAGCTGCACGCAGTAGCGGTTCTCTGTCTCTGCCAGGCTGCCCTCCAGGGATGCTTTCTGTGGGACGGTGAGAAGACCAGGGTTCAGTGAGGGTGGTCAGGGCCCCCTCCTAGGTCCAGGCCCCTCCCACGCTCAGTAACCCTCTCACCATGCTGAGCTGAGACTGCAGCTCAATCTCCAAGGCCTGCATTGTGCGCCGGAGCTCGGAGATTTCACTCTTGCCACTCTGCACCAGCTCACTGTTGGTGGCCACCTCGCGGTTCAGCTCCTCTGTCTGCAGACAGGGCACAAGGACAGGCAGCATGAGATGGGATCCCTTCCCCAAGTCAGAAGACCCCCCATGGCCTCCATATACTCAGCCCAGGCCGCCATCTAGACCCAAACAGGCACTTGCGGCTGTTCCCGAGTGATACTCCTGCCATGGCTATCTCCCTTACTTCTAACCATCCCTTGGGCCTCTTGATCTTCCTCCCAAACCTGGCTGTGGAGAAAAGGGCCTTTTCGCCAGCTTCCCATTTCCCAAAGTCCAGGAACAATCCCTTCAGAATGTTTTTATCATTAATCCCTACAAGTGCAAAGAACAGGAACAGGAATAGGGAACTTGAGAACCAGCCACCACTTGTAACCTGGTCCTTAGTGCTAGTTCCTGATTCCTCAAGGGAGAAGGCAAAGCCCTTCCCCAGCTGCCCCTGGCAGCTCTCTGCCTTCATTTCAGAGGGTAGGCTCCCCACCTCCTCACCCATGCTCCAGACCTCCAGGCCTGTTGATGCAATGGGCGACCCTGATGCCCTAGGAGCCCTGCAGTTCTCTGAGGACTGGACACCCTTAAGATGCCAAAGCAGTAGGCTTACGTTGGAGGTCAAGCTCCTGCACCCCCAGCCCCTGGGAGAGGCTTCTGACCACAGCAGCACCCACCTTGCTGAAGAACCAGTCCTCAGCATCCTTGCGGTTCTTCTCTGCCATCTTCTCGTACTGGTCACGCATCTCAGAAAGGATGCGGCTCAGGTCCACGCCAGGAGCAGCATCCATCTCCACATTGATCTCACCGCCCACCTGGCCTCTCAAGGAGTTCATCTCCTGTGGAAGAAAGGGATTGCAGGTATGGGCATCTGGGCCTGTCCTGATTCCTTCCTTCCAACCCTTCCCAGGCAAGGATTCTGGAATTTTCTGGTGGAAACTAGGCTGTGGAACCAATTCTAATTCTCCAGGTATACTCTGGACACCTTCTACCCCCAACCCTCCTAATGATTTTTTGTTTGTCTGTATGGACACTGCCTCCACCATCAGACTGGGGGTTCAGTGCAGACAAGAATTATGTCTGCCCCATTAGACTGAGGGCCCTGAAAGGATGAAGTGTAATTCTTAGATCTGTGCCACCAGGATTTGCTATCTAATTCCCAAACTTTTAAGTGGGGCTCAGATTCTAGGATTTGAACTAGAGCAAGAAAGAACCTGCTGACTTAATACCCCATCCTTGTTAGGGAGGCCAGGATGGCCAGGGGAGGTTTCTGCTGACCCCTAGAATGTTCTCCAGATGCTGAGAAGTGGTGTGGAGGAAGCTGCCCTGAATGCTGGCTTCTGGCCCTGGTCCTGCCCCAACACCCAGGGGCCAGGGCCCCACAGACAGGGCAGCCCTGGAAGATGACCAGCCCTGTGCACATGCACTCTTCTCACGACCTCAGCCTTGGCCCAGCCCCAGATCATCACCATCTGTCTGCAGCCTCTTTGACCCGCCTCCCCACTCTCACCTCCTCATGGTTCTTCTTCAGGTAGGCCAGCTCCTCTTTGAGGTTCTCGATCTGCATCTCCAGGTCGGCTCTGGCCAGGGTCAGCTCGTCCAGCACCCTGCGCAGGCCGTTGATGTCGGCCTCCACGCTCACGCGCAGGGCCTGCTCTGTCTCAAACCTGCAACAGAACCAAGACATCAGTCCAGGCTTCTAGCAGGTCCTGGCTTCTCATCCTGCCTTTGCCTCAACAGAGGTGTCTAAGGCAGTATTGGATTACCCAATAAGCAAAGTAAGGATGGGCTCCTTGGGCTTCCTTACTAATCTGTAGTGAAAATTTTCACATTTTTTCACCACATCCAAGATTTCATTTCTAGTTATGGCTGGCATCTGTGTCTCTCCCAAATCCATTGCACTTCCTATAGAATCAAAGCCTCTTCTCAAATTTATAGTCCCTGACAGGGACCGAGTACCCAGTAAGAAAAGTAAGCACAGGCTTACTTGTACTTACTTACTAATCTGTAGTGAACTGTTTACATGGGTTTCATCACATCACATGTGAAAATGTTCACTACAGATTAGCAAGTAAGCACAAGCTAACCTTGCTTATTGTGTAATCCACCCCCAGTCTAAGACCATGCAGGGATGGGAAGAGGAGGAATGGAAACACATCATCCTTACTCTCTCATCTCCGCTTCCCTTCCTCTCTTGCATCACCTGACTAAGCCCAAAGACTTCAAGGTTGATGAGATCACCTCTTCCTTGACCAAGGGTCAGCTCTTAGCAGCTCCCAGAACTTCCCAGCCCCAGCTCCTGAACTTGCCACACACTCCAAAGGAAAAGGCAGCAGAGGAGTCCAGGGTGGGGGAAAATGCCCCAAGTTCCTCCCCAGCCTTCCGGGTTACCCAAGGCTGGCACCAGAACTCACTTGGTGCGGAAGTCATCCGCGGCCAAACGGGCATTGTCAATCTGCAGCACGATGTTGGCATTGTCCACAGTGGCTGTGAGGATCTGCGAGGTGGGAGAGCAATCAGGTCATGGGGTTGGGAAGCTCAGCCAAACCAGGGTCAGGAGGTGGGTTTCCATGCCTAGGGGCCAGGATGTGACTGCCTCATCCTACAGCCCTCCCCTTCCCACCCTCCTTTACCCTTCACCTGAGCTGTAATTGTTGGCAGAGGCGGATTGAGCAGGACTGTGATGAGCTCAAACTTGCTTGCCACCCCTCGCCCCCCCAGGACTTGCCTCCCCCACAAAGACCCCCATGCCAGGCTCTGACTCAAAGGAGAGGTGGATGGGGCTGGAAGTGCCAGGAAAGCCAGAGGAAAATTCCCGAACACTCTGGAGTAAGAAGCAGTTCCAGAATTCCAGATGTGGGAATCCCCTCATTTTAGTCAGGGTGAGGGGAGGGGGGGATGGTGCCCCTGAGAAGCTCCCCAAAAGGGAAACTAAAGGAGGCTCACTAAGCAATGGCTCCAAATTAGGAGACAGGAACCCAGCTAAGCCCAAGCCAGGCTCCAGCAGGTAAACCCACCCTGGAGTGAGCCCCAATTTTGAAGGTCAGCAAGAGGAATGGGGAAGCCTGAAAAATCCCCAAATAAGGTCAAGAGGCCTTCTCTGCCCTGAGGTCCCATCTCTCACCTGTCACCTCCTCCCAGCAGATGCTGTCAGGAGCTCACTGAGTCCCTCTGCCTCCCCAATGCCCCAAGTCCCTCTCCTGCTGACCAGTGCTCCAAAGGGCAGAAGTTCCAGGTACCCAGCCACCCCCAGGCCCAGCCCTCCATATGCATCCTCCCATCTTAGCCACAACCACACGAGGTGGCTGAAATGGAGAAACTGAGGCTCAAAGGGGCTCCAGAGGCCTGCTCACCCTTGACTCAGCCACTGCCCCTCAAAGAGCAGGTCATGGGCCCACATAAGGCCCCAAGGTGGGCCCCCAGAGGCCAAGCCCAAACCAAATGGCCTTCAGCTCAGGGGAGCCCCCAGACTGGAGATGAGGGAGAAGTCATGTCCTCATGGGCCCTCTCCCACTAGTAGGCCCCACCTTGTTCCTCAGGTCTTCGATGGTCTGGTAGTAGGGGCTGTAGTCACGGGCAGGTCCCGGGGCCCGCTTCTGGTACCAGTCACGGATCTTCACCTCCAGCTCGGTGTTGGCCTCCTCCAGGGCACGCACCTTGTCCAGGTAGGAGGCCAGGCGGTCATTGAGGTTCTGCATGGTGGCCTTCTCTCCTCCTGCCAACAGCCCGTCAACGCCCCCAAAGCTGCTGCCATAGCCACCACCATAGCCACCACCATAGCCACTGCCAGCGCCGAAGCTGTAGCAGCCGGAAAAGCTGCTACTGCCTCCGAGGGCGCTGCCCAGGCCACTGGCAGACCCCAACCGGCATGAGCCTCCACCCAGGCTGCCAGACAGCCGGCAGGAGGTGCGGGAGCCGCCTCCCAGGCCCGAGGAGCCCTTGATGGAGCTGGAGGAGGTGAACTGCCGGATGGTGGTGGTCATGGCTGCGGTGGTGATAGGCACTGAGCAAGAAGGTGGCTGTCTCGATAGGAAGAGAAAGGCCCCAAGGTGTGTGCTGCTGCCGGGGCTCGCCTGCTGCCTTTATAGACGATAAGTGGGCGTAACAATTACAACAGGCCAGATCCTCTGTTTCCATTCCCCTTGGCTTTCATCACCGCTGGCCACCTGCCAGCTCCCAGGCGGCTGTGCTCCCCCCACCAGGGCTTTGCCTCATTTCTCCAGAAACCCCGAGGAGGGCATCTGCATGTACGTGTCTCTGATCTCAGGCCACTTAGGATGTCACTGTGATTCAGGTAGGCCCCCGGGCTACGCTTTCCCATGACCTAATACGGAGAAGAGGAGACGGTAGGACGTCACTGTCATTGGGCCCTCCCAGGCAGTGCACCTCAGCCAGACCTGCCAGTTTCTGGTGGGGAAACTGGTCAGGCAGCCCCCAGCCTAAGGTTGCTCTTCTTCACCGTACACCACGCCACACATGGTCCTGGCCCTGGCAGAGTGCTGGGCAGAGAGGACCTAGGCCCCAGCCCACCCTGGAGAAACTGGGCCTGACCCCATCAGGCCCACCGCACCACACATTAACCCCATCAGGCCTCAGATCACTGCTAGCCCATTTGACAGGTAAGGACATGGAGGCTAGCGTGGGGATGCAATGCACTCGCTACCCACCTAGTTCTGGAACTAGCTGGCAGGGCTACAGCCTTCATCCTACCGTGCCACAGCCCACCCTCAAGGACCCAGGCCACTCTAGTAGTCCCAGTGCAGAACCTTGACACCCAGGGACCCTCTCCAGGGGCTAAGGTTCCCTCTGGTCAATGTTCTATCCTGTCCCTGTCCTTAGGACCCCTGAAAGCCTAGTCTCTCATTTTAGACTTCCTTTATAAGGTGGGTGTTCCTGGGCTGAGGGGGGTAAGGAGGTGCTTAGCTATAGGATGGGCAACTGAGCGGTTGGGGGGGGCTATTGTGGAGAAGGGGAAACTGTAAGAGCTGTGAACTGTAAGGGGCCCTCTTCCATCCTCCTGACCCCTCAGTGTAAGAAGCCTCAGGGTGAGGTCAGGGTCGTTTCAGCTGGAAGTCTAAAGGGTCTTATCCAAGAAAAGGCTCTGAGCTGAAATCCCAGAATTTTAGCTTTCTCTCCCATCCCCAGCCTCCCCTCAGAGACCCCATCAGCACCCCGATGTGGCTCCTCAGGGTGGGCCCTACCCCATCCCACGGCCCCACCCTGCCCTGCCCACCACCTCAAGCCAGGCCCTGGGACCCAGGGTCTCAACAGGTCTGTGGGCGGAATGTGGTCCTGTCTCAGGCTGCCAATGGCTTCCACCTCCCAGACAGGCCCAGACAGCCCCACTAGCACACAAGAGAGATTCTCCAATAGCCCGGCAGCTGCCAAGCCACCAAAGCAAACAGGATGCCCCCCACACTCACACGCACAGGTGGCCACCCCACCCCACACACACACCCCGGGCCAGGCAGAGCCGGTCTGGCTTCCCTGGAGGCTGCTCTGCGCCACCCCCTCTCATTCATCAATGCCCTTGACCACTCCCTCAGAAAGCCCACAGCCCAGCCTTTCTCCCTCTGCTCTCGAACCCCATCCAGGCCAGGGCTGAGGCTGGCAGCCCTCTGTGTAGCAGGCGTGGTCCCCAAGAGGCTATGGGGCCTTCCCAGGGACCAGCCTCAGGCAACAGGGAGCCAGGGGCCAACTCTCAGAAACTTTCCCAGTCAGACTGGCTGTCTCGTCCCTCCACCTTCAATCCTTCCACCTCCTTCTGCCTCCTTCCCTCTTGCCCTCCCACTAGCCCCAGGATGGATGGGGTGGGCAAAGCAGGTTGGCAGGGAACAAGGTGATACCCAAATGCTCAGCAAACTCTCCTCCTCCCCAATCCCCCTCCCTCAGCCCACACTGCCCCAAGCCAATGAGTAGACCACACAAGGCATGGAACATCAGCAAAGCTTTAATAGCTGTCACTGGGAAAGCTGGGGGTCCCCTCAGTGAGGGGCTGCAGAAAACAGATACAGAAAAGCAATCTCTCAGGGGCAGGGGCCCAGGCTGGCACTCAGGGCAGTAGCACATGGGGAGCTGGAGGCCAGAGCTGCTCCTGGACCCTCAGGCTAGGCCATCACTCTCCAAAAGCCTCCTCAGTGAGTGGAGCGATGCACCTGCTCACGGGAGGAGACCACCTTGCCGTCCTGGACCTCCTCCATGATGGTGCGCACCTGGCGGCTGGTCACCGTGGCTGCAGGCAGTCAAGGAGGGCGCACAGGAAGCCTCAGGCCAGAGCCCCTACTCCCATCCTGCCACCCCACCTTCACCTCCCCAGGTCCCCCCCACAGGGGAGTCCTCAGCTTCTGCCTCTCCTTCTGGATATGGACAGGAAACAGCGGCCTCTTACCTTCCCGGGTGGCCTGCGAGGCCAGGGATGAGGAGTACTGGGTCGCCAAGCTGCAGGGAGAGGGGACTTGTCAGCCCAAGAATGCCAGCTAGGAGCCCAGCCTCTGGGAGCACTCTAGGGAGAAGGAGCAGCTGGGAGGCCCAGGGTGGGAGGGGAGAAAGGTTCCAGCAAATGGGAAAGAAATCAAAGCTGGGGGTACAGGGGAAAAGAAGGGCAACCCCCCAGAGGATCAGAGGGCACGGGGCAGGAGTAGGGGAGCGGGGACAGGCCAAGGGAAAGCCCGGCTGCACCTAATGGTTGTTAACCAGGGATTTACAAGAAGCTGAGCAAGTAGTTTTTCATATCCTAAAGGCCCCAACAAATAAACTCAATTAAAGCAAGAAAGACTGTGGTTAAGACTATAGACAGACTTGTCCCTTGTTAAGGAGCATGCAGCTGGAGTGTGTGACTAAGCATAGTGACCCAGGACATTGTCAGCCCTTCCCACCAGGGCCCTGATCAAACTTCCCAACCCCCAGATGTCCACTCACCCTGCTCCTTATCATGTGCTGGTTAATGATGTCACCAACCACCCAGCCACCCAAACCAGAAACCTGAGTCCTTCTTAGCCTCTCCTTCCTGACTTCACTTAGCATTTATTGAGTCCTGACCAGGAGTCACACTTGCCCCCACCCCCACGTCCAGGCATCCGATCCCCCAGTTTCTTGCTATCAGATATCTTCCGTGGGCACCACCAACTTTCCAGCCTCCTGATAGGCCTCCCTGACCCCACCCTGACCCCTCCACAGCCAGAGTGAGCTTTCTAAAACATCCTCCTCCACTCAGAAGCCTTCCGTGGCTCCCTATTGCCTGCACGATCCAGCCCAGACGCTTTACCGTGGCATTCCAGGCTCCTGGCATCACCGCCCAGCAGCTATTCTTAGTTTCACCTCCTGCAAAACCCCCACAGTTGTGTCACGTTTCCCAGCCACCCCCCTAAGTACATTCATTCACACTTCTGAGCCTTGGCTGGTGCTGTTCTCTCTGCTCCAGAGTCCCCCAGCCCCTTTCGCGCAGGGCCCCCACTCACTGGGAGTCCTCGCCCTCCAGCAGGCGGCGGTAGGTGGCGATCTCCTGCTCCAGCCGCGTCTTCACGTCCAGCAGCACCTGGTACTCGTGGTTCTGGCGCTCCATGTCACAGCGCAGCTCACACAGCTGCTGCTCGATGCTGCTGATGAGCCCCTGCAGCTGAGCCAGCTGGGCCCCGTAGCGTGCCTCGGTCTCCGCCAGGCTGCCCTCCAGAGACGCTTTCTGCAGGTCAGTAGGTGGCCGTGAGACCCCCTCCTGGGACCCTTGCCCACAGCGGAGCACCAAAGGGCAGTAACTGGGCCCGAGGGGCCTGTGTCACTGAGGGAAGGGACGGGCTGGGCAGGGAGGTCTCTGTCTCTCTGAGTGGGGGTCTACTTGGCTGGGCTGGCCTGGGGTGCCGGGTGCCAGGCAGGGAGGGGGCGGAGGCCCTACCATGCTGAGCTGGGACTGCAGCTCGATCTCCAGGTTCTGCACCGTACGGCGGAGCTCAGTGATCTCTGTCCTGCTGCTCTGCAGGGCCTCCGTGTTGGTGGCCACCTCCCGGTTCAGCTCCTCCGTCTAGAAGGCAGGGCAGACACAGGGGCTTGAGGAGGCTTGTGGAGGGGGTGTGGAAGATAGGGGCCATCTGGGAGCCCTTACCTCCCAGAAAGGCTGCCTCCAGCCTTCTCTGGCCTCTGCGGGTCCCCAGAGACATACACACACACACACACACACACACACACACACACACACACACAAGGACATACTGGACCCTCACTGGGCTGAGGGGAATTCACCCCGCTCTGCGGTGACTTGCATCCCTTATTCCTGCTGAGCTAAAAGCACCTCAAGATAGAGACTGGGTTTTATTTCTTTTTGTGTCTGTGGCTGTCCCTGGGACGTGGTAGATGCTTAGTTTGTAAGTACTAACGGAATGAGTTATACATGCAAACACACACATAACTACAAACACTTGCTGTGGGAGAAGCCCCAGACCACTGGGGTTTGGAGACCTGGGTCTATCCCCAGGCCACAGTGAAGGGTTGTGGAGCTTAAGGCCTCCCTAAACCTCCTATTTTGCTTGGTCCAACTGGTTTCCAAAGGTCCTTCCAGCTGGGACACAGGCTCCAGCCTGCACCCAGCACACGTCCCTACATGTGTGCACACCTGCTCGCTCATGGCCACCCACCTTGCTAAAGAACCAGTCCTCGGCATCCTTGCGGTTCTTCTCCGCCATCTTCTCATACTGTTCACGCATCTCGTTGAGGATGCGACTCAGGTCCACGCCAGGGGCAGCATCCATCTCCACACTGACATCCCCGCCCACCTGGCCTCGAAGGGCATTCATTTCCTAGGCAGAGAGGAGAGAGGAAGCTCACACAGGGCTGTACGGGGGAGAGGGTGGGGTCTGCCTTCTCTACCCTTGGGAGACACATATGATAACAGACAGACAGGGGAGGCCAGCAGCTCCTCATCCTGAAGGTGAAGGTGGATGTTGGTGGATGTGTCGATCTCCCTAATACATACTGGGAGCTGGAGGCAGACTTCACCCATCCTTAATGTGTGTTGGGGCCCAAGAGAACAATAATAGCTCCCCATGACGGTGGGTGACAACAAGGACAACCTCCTTCACCACCCTGACCACCTGCCCGGTTCCCCACTGCCTGCCACACGGCATGATATCCATGTTGGCATCAGCTGAGTCAGGTGTGCTTGGAAGGTTAAAGCCTGGTGACTGGGGGCAGAAGAATGGTGCAGTTTAGAGCCATAGGACCAGCCTCAAAGCCAAGTAGAAACACTTTCTGGGTGTCCTGCTACTTGGCATAGGCACCCCTAGCTCAGGTCAGCCAGGGGTCTGCTGAGAAGGAAGCCACCAGGACAGAATATAGGCCTTACTGGGCCCCACCTGGTCCTTGAGTCCCCATCCATTGGTTAGGATCTCTGGGACCCAGAACTCTCTGAAAAATGGACGTGGGAGAGATGGTAGAGAGGTGGCATTGGACCTGAGTGTGGATATAGGTCAGACCTGGGGGAAGGCCCCATGTGGCCTTGGATACATCATGTGGTCTTCCCAAGCTTCAGTTTCTTCACTGGTGAAAAAGGGGAGCTTCCTCCTCCCAGCGACGTTGTCGGTATCAGCTGAGATAATTGCTCTGAATCATTTGTAACTGGGCAAATGTTTGTTGTTGTTATTACTATCACTATAATTAATTAAACTAATTAGCATTATATGTTCTGGGACTGATTGGCTCATTAAAGAGTTAATTGCCAGTAACTGAGCCTCCTTCAAGGAACAAGGGAAGTATCTTGGGGAAAGAGGCCCCTGGAAAGGCCTCATCCTGGGCCCTCTGAGGGTCTCCTAGGATCAGGCCAGAAACCCACCAGCGATGGAAACTGGACCAAGAGCATGGCCCCAGCCTAAGAAGGTTCTGGAGTCCCCACCTCCGGACAGGTTTTGCGCTGCCTTCTGGGCTGGCCTCACCTCCTCGTGGTTCTTCTTCAGGTAGGCCAACTCCTCCTTCAGGCTCTCGATCTGCATCTCCAGGTCGGCTCTGGCCAGGGTCAGCTCGTCCAGCACCCTGCGCAGGCCGTTGATGTCGGCCTCCACACTCATGCGCAGGTTCAGCTCCGTCTCGTACCTGGGACAGGCAGAGGCGTGAGCCATGGACTGCCCTGTGGACACCCCCTCATGCACACACCATTGTCTTTAATGGGGCAGTCCTGGGGCAGTCCCGGGGCCCAGACTCACTTGGTGCGGAAGTCATCGGCTGCCAGGCGGGCATTGTCGATCTGCAGCACCAAGTTGGCGTTGTCAATGGTAGCTGCCAGAATCTGGGGGAGGCGGCAGGCTCTGTGAGCAAATACCCCTGGTGGCCCCAGAGAGCAGCCCCCAACACCTTTGCAGCTCTCTGGGGAGTGGACCAGAGCAAACCTATGGACGCCTCCTCTGATGTTGTTTTTAAGTGCCATTGAGTCAATTCCCACTTGTAGTGACCCCATGTAACAGAATAGAACTGCCCATAGGGTTTTCTAGGCTGTAAAAGGAAACTTAGTGGCACAATTGTTAAAGCGCTTGGCTGCTAACCATAAAGTCAGCAGTCCAAAATCACCAGCCGCTCCACAGAAGAAAGATGTGGCAGTCTGCTTCCATAAAGATTTACAGCCTTAGAAACTCTATGGGACTGTTCTACTGTGTCCTATAGGGTCACTCGGAGTTGGAATGACTCAACAGCAATGAGTTTGGTTTTTGGACTCTTTACGGAAACAGATTGCCAGGCCTTTCTCTCATGGAACAACTGGGTGCGTTTGAACCACCCATCCTTTCAGTTGGTAGTCAAGCACTTATCCGTTTTTCCGCCAGCACTCCTTCCTCCTCTGATTACCCTGCTGGAAATTTCAGGGACGCAGCTAAGGTGCTCAGAGGTTTCATAGGGTGGTGGGGCCATGAGACCCACCCATAAGGAACCATGATGCCAGGAGAGAGACCCATGTGCCCCCCTCCCTCCCACCATAGACCTCACTCCCTCTTCCCCAACTAAAGTCACCTCTCAGCTCACTTGCCACCTCCTCCAGGAAGCCCTCCTCGATTTCCTGGATTCCCTGTCTAGGTCTCTCCTCCCTGCCCCACCTTGCATCTCCCTGCCCATCTCTCTGTCATAGTGCTCCTCCCCTAGGCAGCTTTACACCTATTTCTATGATTCTTATGATAGTTTCCTCCCCTGGCCTCTGAGCTCTGGCGGAGGCAGGGCCCATGTCTGCCTCATTCTCTTCAGCCTCCTCAGCCCTGGAAGTCAGCCCCTGGGTGACAATGGTTTCATTAAGTGATTAATTATACAATTAATGAGGTTGTGACTGGCCCCACTTCAAACCTAAGACAAAGTTTTCTTTTCTCACAGTGTCATCCAGAAGGTTTAAATGAGAACTCTGGAACACATAGGCTCCGGAGGGAACACAGGGTTGGTTAGTATTACTCTGTTGTCACTGTTAGAAAGGAGCTCTGGTGGTGCATTGGTGAAGGCATTTGGCTGCTAACCAAAAGTTCAGTGGTTCAACCCCACCAGCTGCTCTGCAAGAAGAAAGATGAGGTAGTTTGCTTCCATCAAGATGTATGGCCTTGGAAACCTAATGGGACTCGCTATGAGTCAGAATCAACTCAATGACAGTGAGTTTGGTTTGGTTAGGTCACTGTCCTCAATAAAGGTCAAGGGCCGTGGGATAAGGGAAGAGGGCAGAAGGGAGCAGAAAGGTCGCTGGGTGGAGGTGGCCATAAGAGGGGTAGAATTGGAGATTTTTTTAGGGCTGAGGGCTGAAGTGTCAGAGACACTAAAGGGAGCTGCACCAGTGGGTACAAACAGCCCCACTCAGCCCCTCCAAAAGGTCCAGGGCCATGGCAGCCCCTCCCAGACCCCACTCAGGGTGCTAAGGTCTATGAAGTCCCCTGGATCAGACCCAGCTCCCCTTTTACAGACTGACCTGAGGGCCAGTTTGTCACCATCCTAGAACTCATTAGATTCCTCTGCAGGCTACACAGACCCCCACCACCTCCCCATAGGATTGATAGGTTGATAGGGCTCAGTGAGGGTGGCTGTGAAACCTCAGGGGAGTGGGTGAGGGTGACTTAGAGGAGCAGAGGCCTGGGGCAACAGGGGGTTGGTGGGGAGGTACTAACTGACCCCAGACCTTGGGAGCCCTGACTCACCAGGGTTCCCTGGGTTCCCCCGACCAAGTTCCCTATCTGATCTGGCACTCCCAGTGCCTTGGCTTCCAGGGGAAGGTGCAGGAACTCCCTGCCTGGTGGAGGTCCTGGGCAGGAGCAGATAGAGCCCCTCAGAGCCCAGCAGCCAGGACTGGCTTTCCATCCAGCCCAGGTCCCCCAAGCCTGACTTTATTGGTCTCTTTAACTCCTCACTCACCTCTGCGGGCTATAGTACTCTGGGACCTTCCCCTAGGGCTGAGTTCATGCAGAAGACCCAGGTGCCTACATTCACAGAAAGCCAAGCTCTGTTCCTAGAGGTCATAAGTGACCGAGTGTGTCTGGCTGGCTGGCTGGCTGGCTGTGTCTATGTGTCTGTGTGTATTGTCTCCTCTAACAGACTAAGTTGGCAAAATGCCTTTCCCTGGGATCTTCCAGTATAAGTGCATAGACACAGCTCCTACCCTCAGGGTCCCCCAGTCTACAAGGAGAGACAAGGCCCCAGCCCTCAGGAAACTCAGAGTGACCATCATAGAGGAGTGAGGGGGACACACAACAAAGCAGCCATGAGAACATGCCAGGTGTGGGGAAACTAGCACAATGAACAGGATACAAGCTGAACCTCAAAGTGCAAAAGGGTTCACCTTGTATCCTGGGAATTAGAAGTGAGTGCCATTCGTCCAGGAGGACTGTGTGAAAGAAGTCAGGCAGGCAGGAGGGCAGACCCACAGGGATGTGGAATGACAGGAAGGAGATGTTCCAGCCTCATCTCCAATCTCCCAAACCTCTCCCACCTATATGCCTTTGCCCATGCTATTCTCCATACCCAGAGGGCTGGCCTTCAAGGTGAAGTCCTCTTTGCCTACTCCTCCATCTCCTACCTCCAAATATGCTACCCTCAAAAGGGAGGGGTCTGTCCTCCTAGAGAACTCCAAACAACCTCCCTGCACAGATGTCCTCCAGGCCTGGGACCAGGGATTGGCACGGCAGTGAATTAATTAACATTGGAGGTCTAGCACTGGGGAGAGATGTTTGCATAGGTACAAAGTAGGGATGGAGTGGGTCATAAGCAAGTCTAAGGTCAGAGGACAGAGAGCAAAGGGCAGGCAGCTCACACCTTGCTCCGCAGGTCTTCAATAATCTTGAAGTAGTGGCTGTAGTCTTGGGCAGGCCTGGGGCCCTGCTTCTGGTACCAGTCTCGGATCTTCACCTCCAGGTCAGCATTGGCCTCCTCCAGGGCCCGCACCTTCTCCAGGTAGGAGGCCAGGCGGTCATTGAGGTTCTGCATGGTCTCCTTCTCACCGCCCCCGAGCAGGGCGTCCGACACGCCAAAGCTGGATCCAAAGCCCCCGCCCAGGTTGCAGGTGTAGCCACTGCTGTAGCTGGCACCCAAGCCTGCTGAGAAGCGGGATGAGGCGACCGACATGTTGCCACAGCTGCTGGCTCCCAGGAGGCTAGGGGCCCTGCAGGCACCCCCAACACGGACCGAAGACATTCGGGAGAAACCTCCGCCAGGCACACACACGCCCTTCATAGAGCCCGAGGTGGAGAACTGGCGGATGCTGGTGGTGGTGGCGGCCATGGTGTCCACAGGTCAGATGCAGGATCTGGTCTAGACCAAGACCCCGGGCAGCCCTTTATAGCCAGGCCACAGAGGGGCTGGGCCCCTGGACCTTGAAGTCAGAGCCAAAACCCCAACCATGTAATTTGTCTATGTACCAGCCACATAGGGCCTGGGGCTCAGGCTGGACATGCTGAGTGAACCCCCAGGCCCCCCCATGCCGAGCCTGGCCTGGGCACAGTGGACACTTCAGGGCCTATTGTCTACTCAGAAACAAAGGTGGTGTTGGTAGCTGCAGCCCCGGGGTAGGGTGATCCTCCATCCTCAGCCCCAATTAGTCCGCTGAGCTCATTCTTGGGGGGAGTCTGGAGAACCCAGCCCAGGGAGTCAGGAGGGGCATGGGACAAGGCTCCACAGGCCTGGAGCCTGGAGGCTTGTCTGGCCCCCACCCAGCACTCCTGGGCCCCAGGGAGAGGGTGGAGAGATTCAGGGCCAACACCCTACCCTAGGTACAGTGGGGCCCTGATGGAGCCCCTGGTCTGAGGAGGGAGACACAGCCCCTGACCTGAGGGAGCCCCTCTCTCTGAGGGGTGAGACTTAGTTCCTGTCCTGAGGGAACTTTCAGTCTGAGGAGGTAGACATAGCTCTGTCTTGGGATTATCCCAAGTCTGAAGTGGGAGACACAAACCTTGGCCTTGGAGTTGTCCATATCTGCAGGGAATACACCTGGCCCCTGACCAGAGGGAGCTTTGGATACAAGGCCTTAGGGCAAGTCAGCTCCTGTGTCTCAGTTCCCTCCCCTTGTAAAGTGGAGATCACTCTTGTCTTCCAGAGTCCAAAAGGGTATCTGGAATCCAGTCAAGCTCTGGAAAAATGGGCCTCCTGATATTATCGAAGACATGGCATTTCTGTGAACACAGGGTGGGAATGGGTCTAAGACTAGTAGCGGGAGAAGACGAAGAAGCGAGTTGGGGAGACTGCTCAACTCATTCCCCCAGTCCCTGAGGAAAAGCCCTCCAGACGGGGTCCCAGAAAAGGTGCAGAGAAGGCCATGGAGAAGCAGAATTTGTGTAGCCAGGACCCCACAGCATCACGCCACACCCTGAGGCCGCCCCTGGGAGGGAGCAGCCCAATCCCACATCCTGGTGGCTGGCACTGCTCACCGCCCAACAAGATTACCAGCCTAATCTCCCTGGCGCTAATGATTTAGGTACTGCCAGGACTCTGGCATCTGCACCAGGCCTGTCTGTGTATGGAGCTCCTAGGGGAAGCTAGGCCCATGGGACAGGGCAGGAAAGGGCGAGCCTGCACCTGTGCCAGGCATGTGGGTGGCCTGGGCTGTTGGCCCCACATGGGGACAAGGAGGGAGTCAAGTTTTCCATGTGGCCCAGGGCTCCTATGATGAGGCCAGACTGCGGGAAGGACTTTCTGCTTGGAAATGGGGTGATCTCACGCCACTGGGAGGTGTCCTCCACCTTGGAGAGGGCCAAGAAGGGGACCAACACAAGCTCTCTGAGAATGAGAGCAAAGAGGATGAACCTTGACTTTATCCTGCTCCCTCCACCTCTCTTGTGAAGGCTGTGGATTGCTCAGGGGCTGCTCAAAGCCAAAGTTAGAGACCAAGGTCAGGCAATGAGGGCTATTTCATTGAGCTTAGACATCAGGAAGGGCTTCCTGGCAGTCGTGACTCTTGGAAGCAGCAGATGGGAGCGAACACTAGAACCTGGGTTTACAACAGGTGGTCACCCTCCATGGAAGGACATGAAGTGAAGACCCTTTCCCATGCCACACCCTCCAGGACCCCCACACAGGGGAATGATGGTCTCCTCCCACAACCACCAACCAGGCACCCCCTAGCCAGGCTTTAGCCTGGGTTCCAAAATGGCTTGTCCTGCCTTCCAGCACTGGATCTGGAATACAGCCAGGGGCCTAGAGAGGGTAGGCAGGCCCTGAGCACCCCACCCACTACTTAGGACCTGTCCTAGAGCCCTCAGCTCTCACCCTGCCTGGGAGCCCCACCTCCAAAGCCCCCAGACCTTGGTCTTGAAGTCCAGTTTGAAGGGACAGAGTTGTTTACCAATCTCCCTTCCTCTCTCCCTCCCTCCAAACTGACCAAGGCCTGACTTCCCACCTCCACAATTTGGCCTCCATGGCCCCTCTGCTCCTGGCATCAGGCTACAGGCCATGGTCCTCCCTCTCCCCCTCAGCCTGGGCCAAGGCAAGAAGGTCCATTCCTTCTCCACAGCCTTCAGGAACAGCCCTCATCAGATCCTCACGATGTTGCTGTGAGGAAACTGAGGTGCAGGACTAGCATCAAAGCAGGGCCCAGAGCCAGGGCCCCACGGCTCCATTCTTCCTGCTGGGGGAGGAGGGCCTGGCAGAAGCTGGCCAGAGGGCTGTACAGAGGTCTTTTGGGCTGTGACTCCTCCTGTCCAGGCCTGTCCTCCACCCCTGGCAAGGAGGGGCCCCCGGCAGCCCTGAGGGACAGCGCCAGGCCCACAGCTCCCCCCCCATACACAGCTCCCGCAGCTGTCAGCAGCATGGCCCACTTTGAGGAGGAAAAGGAAAGGAGAAAGAGATCCAAATGGCTCCTTCACTCCAGTGCCAGGGGCTGCTGGGAGTCAAGTACGGATGGGAGAGAGGCGGACAAGAGAGAGAGGCCCCAGGGAGATGGCTGAGGAAATCCCCAACATCCCCCAGTGCCCTCCATGCCAACCCCAGGTTTGACTACAGCCATAGGCACTGGGTCTATGCTTGACAGTGGGGCAGGGATAGCCCCTGCTGTGGATTTGAACAGGGCCAGGGTGACGCAAGGTCCAGGATTAGAATGAGCTAGGGGCCCAGTACACAGTTGGTATTCAATGGATGCATAATGATGCTGAAGGTTATGCCATGTCTGCCCTGCTGACCTTGGCTCCTCCAGGCCCCCCAAGCATTAATCATCACCCCCTACAGCAGTGCCCATCTCCCCTCACACTCACCTCTACCCAAAGCCAAGTTTGGGTGCTCTATAAGCGAAGTATTTATTGACTTGTTAGGGTCATGGAGCTGAGTAGAGATGGGGGATTGCATGGGCACCCACCCTGCCCACCAAAAAAAAGGGTCGGAATCAGGTAAGGTGGAAGTAACAGGCCCAGGAACCCAGGGGTAGGCTCCCAGCTTGGGACCCTGGCTTGGCTTATGAGGAGAAGACCCCAAAGCTTTCATCCCAAAGGCCCTCATTCCACTCCAGGTTTCTGTCTCTGGGCCCCCTGCCAGCTCCTTTCCATTAACCTGCACACTGAGCCCCTCTCACCTACAAACTACGCCTGGGGTAGGATAACTGAGGAGCTCATGGGTCCCGACCCCATACATCATCCTCAAAGCACTCCCCAACCCCAGGCAAGGCATCCCCCTCAGAACCATCCCCTTAGCCCTCCTTCCCTCAGCCACACCTGCCACCCCGCCCTCAGGTGGAATCCTCCATCTTCCTTAGGTCTGTTTTCCACGCCTCTTCCTGAGGCCCCAGCGGCCACACCCCAGATCCACCCACTAATGGTTTGTGTCTGGCTCCAAACGGGCCCCACCTACTGCCTCCCCAAGGCCCTAGATGATGCAGGAACATTCCTAGGGCTCCAGGCAACCTTCTCCCAGTTAGGGAAACTCTTCCCAGGGGGAGAGGGGCCTCAGTGCCCCCTGCAGTCCTGGGGGTCAGCCAGGTACTCCTCTCCTCTGGGACAAGCTGATTCAGCCATCTCCCACTGACCACTTTCCAGGAACCATCACCTGGGGTGATGGTGACCCGGACCTAGAACACCCAGAGACACCCTGTCTTTCCAGGCAGAGCCACCTCAGCAGCCCAGGGCCTCACCCTAAAAAGAAGCCAGAGCCCACAGATGGGACTCAGAGAAGGGCAAGGAGAAGAAGGGAGGACTGGGAATGAGTGGGGAGAATGTCCGGAAAGAGAAGGCCAGGCCAGAGAGAGGAGGCCCATGTAGGAAATATGCGGGTTCCTGCAGGAAGACTCCAGGTTAACAGCCCCCCACCTCCTGCCTTCTGCCCCTCCCATCCTCCCCTCTTCCCTCCCTCTGCCCCTTCCCTTCTCTTCTTTCTCTCCTCCCCCTTCCCTCCGCCCCTCCTCTCCCTCCACCCCTCCCTTCCCTCTGCCCCTTCTCCCTCTCTCTCCCCTTTCCCTCCTCTTCCCTCCCCTCCTCTGCCCTTATAGCAGCTCAGGTAGACTCCCCTTTCAGGCCCAGGACACACCCTTCCCCACTTTGCCCTTTTGACTGATTAAGGAGGCCTGCACTAATGGGGTTCCAGGCTCCTTCCCACCTTCCAGACCCACCCTGCGGGGATCCTTCAGCCCCACCCCATGAGACCCCCTCTACTCTTCTCTCTCCACCCCCCGAGTGCCAAGCTGCCCCCTATTAATTCACACTCACTTGCACCCTCTGGTCCCCTCTGGGAACCGGAGCCAAGGCTCCCGGAGGGAAGGGCTGTGTCTCCCCACCTCCCACTGGCCCCTTCCTCAGGGCAGGGGTTAAATCTTTCCACTCAGACCTCAGAGCAGAGGGCCAGGTCTCCGTCCTCAGACCTTAGACTCCCTCAGACTGGGAGCTCAGTGTGGGTGAGGGCTGTCTCCCTTGGGTGACTCCAGCTGCTCTGAGCATGGCTTGATTCACCTGACACAGCCAGTGGGGGTGGGGGGCAGTCTTGGCTTTTTTTTCTGGTGCAGATCACCGAGCCCACCACACTATCACCCACCTGGGAGGGGGAACAGGGCAGGGAGGGTCAGGGGAAGGAGCTTCTTGAAACAGCAGCAAGTCATGTGCCCTGGGAAGGTGGGAGGGGACCTCAGGAGGTCCACACAGGGAGGGGAGGTAGTCGATCTTTTCCAAGTGCAAAACTGCAGGAAGGACAAGAACATTCCTGTGCTCCAGGTGACACTCCACCACCACCACCCCTGCCCCCGTCCTCACCAGGTCCTCCCCATCCAGGCCTGCCTTCTCCAGGAAGCTGCCTGGACAGCCAGCCAGAAGCAA